GTATTTATCCAATCACTGCGTGAAGTGTAATTGTGACTATATTTCGCCGAATTGGCATTGCTCATCGGATGCTCAATTTTATTCAGTACCACTCTGTCGAGTTTTTATCAAGTTGACTGTAACCAGGGTTGGCATTTAAACGGACAATGCAAAGTTATAAACGTTTAAATGCGTTTAAATCGCTTAAATCGATGTTTAAACGTTTTAAATATAATCTTCTTTTAAATATAATAATTGTATAATCCATTTTATTATATTGCCAAAAAGTTGCAAAAAATGCCCGCCGACCAAATGTTGTTAGGACGTTGTCAAGGGCTCCAGGCCAGGTGTACGCAGGAGTCATCAGCTACGAAGCTGACGGCCCTTCGTGGCGTCAAGGTTGAGCTGATCGATACTTTCAAGGCGTCTACTTGCCAGAGTCATTTTGCAGTCATAAGGTGATCGCGACGGTTCACCTGCTAATGTTTCGGCACTCAGCGCTGTTTAGTGATTCTGACTCAGAATGAGTCGGGCAGGCAGACGCCCTCGAAGAGGTCTATCAGTTCTACCTTGATGCCTCGGAGGCCCTTGAGCTTCGCAGCCGTAGGCTCCTGCGGCCAGTTGGGCACGTTCTCCTTCGGCCACGAAGGGCGAATTTGCCATGATCGAGGATCTCCTCCACTTCATTGTCATCATCCGACTGATTGGCGCCGCTGCCACTGCTGAGAATCTGGCTCCACTCGAAGAGAATATGATCTCCGCGTTCTTTGGGCTCGACGTCATCCGCGTCGGAATCCGTCGGTTCTGAACGTCGAGGTCGTCGTCCTGCTCCGCTTGCACATGACCGACCACATGGCGGTCGGTTGCATCGACGATGCGCCCATGGCGTCGCCGTGCTGTTGCCTTCATAGAGCGTCCTTGATGCAGCGTTGGTTTTGTGCACGGCCTGCTGCACCACGCTAATCTGCTTGGCCTTTTCAGTGGCCAGTCGATTTCGCTTGGCGGTGCGGATCAGCGCCATTTCGGAGAACAATCGCTCGCATGTCGCCGTGTTGATCACCACCGACTCGCATGTCGCCGTGTTGATCACCACCGACAGCAGCGCCAGCCGCGCCAGCCGCGACGTTTTGAACGACAGTAGAACGTATTGCCAAAAGTCGAGTGCCGATGACGAAGCGAACTCCGCCGGCTCCAGGTCGTATTACGACAGACCCTTTTGATGCCACCGCATGACATCGAGACGAAGATCTCCAACATCGTCGTCGATAAACCGCTTATAGTACATGGTGGCGAATTTGCCCAGTTGTCCCATTGACGTCAGGTCCGTCTCCGGCAGCTGCTGGAATACGCCGTTGTACTTGGGATGCAACAAAAGGCACATCACGAACAGAGGCTGCTCGCAATCGGCCCAGCGCTTCTGAACGCACGGCAGCAAACACTTACTGTCTGGATGGTTCCAGAATGCTAAAGCGATGGCGCCGTAGTTGAGCATGACGTTCGCCATGCTGTTGTCGTCACGCTGCAGGCGGAAAGAAGCTACCGTCAGAGTCCTGATGACGGCCTCGGCGTCTGCACACTGAGAGTATTGTTCAGGAAACGCATAACAAGAAATTTAGCTTTTCGAGTAAACCTGGACCCAGAACTTTTCATCCCCGAGAACTCGAAGGGCAGCAGGAAAGTCGCCATGCGTGCCCCAGCGCAGCAAAAACATTTTGCAGGCCGATTTACAGTTAACACGAAGCAGAGATGCCAACATGCCTTAAACCGAGTTCCATCGCGTAGCAGCCAGCCCAAGCGGCTAGCCGTAAACAGTTTTCATCGAGTCGCGCTGCCGGGGCAGCCACTTGGCAGTCGATTGGTTGAGCATCGACACGACGTCATGCGCCTGAGCGACCGTGATCTGCCACGTCGATGCAATGGTGCCCTTCACCAGCAGGTTGATCTGATGAGCATAGCAGAAATGGAAAATGATTTTCGGCCAGAGCCAGAATTCGACGAGCGCGGGCACACGGACCGGCGTTGCCGGTGATGATTGCGCCGACGTTCCAGCCATCCTCGATCATGGAAAGCAGAATGCTCTCTAACTGCTCAGCAATGGCAAGCCCATCGTGTCGATTTCCACATCGAAATGCACCGAACGTCAGCGAGAAGCCACCCAATGCAAGCTGAACACCCAGGATGTGCGTTTTCGCCTTGTTCTCCCAGGCATCCGACAGGAAGTTGACGCGCTTGTACGAACCGGCCGGGCACGCCGCCTTCAACTCACGCGCACAAGCGGCGCCTGCAGAATCGGCGTAGTGCATCAAGATGCTCCCACCCAACAGTCAGCGCGAGGGTAGCACGTAAGCCGCCTGAGGGTTGCAGAAATCGACCAGACGCTTGAACGTCTGGGTTTCGACGAAGGAGGCCGGCAGGCTATTCTCCGCCATGAACTCCAGGATCAAGCGGTGAAACTGGTCTTTCTGGTCGTCGATGGGCGGCGCGATGTACCGCGACATGGATTGTTGGCGAGGCCGTTTCATTGATGACTGCGAGTCTGTCGGACCGAGAAGCGGCGACCCGCTGCTAACAGAGCGCATCGCACCACTCTGGCAGTATGATGGCGCTGTATCGCGCAAAGGTGCAAACATGCATTTGCGGAGGTGCGCTTCCATCGCATACTTTTCCGCACGGATGTCGGCGGGCTCGCCAGCGTTCGGATTGCCCGATTGAAATGCACGCGTGCAGTGCATACATTTCAGATACGCTTGCGTTTTGTTGGCCATGCAGTCTGTGTTCGTGAAGTGTTGCCGCGCGCTGCACGGTTTCCGACCGACAGGATATGGCATCCGTATGATGTGGAGGAAGGACCGACGGAGTCACACTGATAATGCAAGGACAGCGTCAGCGGGCGCGGAGTCGAATAAATGATACCCGCCCGTTTTAGGGATCGCCCGGACTCCGTGACTCACAGAGCCCTAATAACTCCCGTTTAAATAGCAGGAAGTGATGCCCGCCCGTTTTAGGGATCGCCCGGACTCCGTGACTCACAGAGCCCTAATAACTCCCGTTTAAATAGCAGGAAGTGATGCCCGCCCGTTTTAGGGATCGCCCGGACTCCGTGACTCACAGAGCCC